AAATGGCATCACGAGTTTCATCAAATGTTCTTGAACTATAGGCAGTATTCAAGGCCCTAAGGAAGTTTCAAAAACCCCTAAACTATCACTGAGTTAAGATTTGTGCAGACAATTTCCGAGTTGTAGCCTATACGGGCCTTCAAGGGGGATCCATGAGCCATGCTATGGTAAATATCATGAAGCCTCTAATGTCCTTGGCTCAGAAACACCTTCAACTACCAGGATCTAGTTGATGTCCATCTACCAGGTCCAGAAAAAGCTTTGAGTTCTTACAGATCCAAGAGAATGGTCTCTATCAAAAGAAGTATTCAGAAAAATAGTCTTAAGATCGGGAACTCCAGACCTGATGGCAAACCCCATTTCCTATGAAGATCCTTCAATTGCCCATGGAATACATGCTCTAACCTTCAAATGAGAATTTTATCTCAGATATGTATTTCCTCTATTCCTTCTGCTTTTTGCATTATTGAGAAGAATATTGCCTAGAGCATAACACTGCTTCCACGGGTCTGCCTTCTTCCTATATTGCATCCTACTGACATCTCTTCCCCATGTAAATGATGCACACTCACCTAGTCATCCACCTGATCAAGAAGAAAATGTTTTTAATCTGACCAGGCACACTTCTTCCATTGCTTCATGATCCAGTTCTGATGCTCATGTCTCATTGAAGGCACCTATAGTGGTGTAGAGGGGTGTCACTGGGGTAGGGGAGGGGGACAGAGTGGGCCATGCCCCCCCCCAATTGAAATGGAAGTCGGGAGCACTGCATCTCCCTTCACAAGCTGCAGCAGCACTGTTACTGTGGAACTGTGTTCCACCCTTTTCCCATGTGCGGCCAGAGGGAGCACTGTGCTGGGAGTACTTCTTCCTGGGTCATAGAGAACAGTGCAGGGGAGAGACAGGGAGAGGAAGCTCAGCTCTGCACAGAGGCATCCAAGCAGCTGCTGGTAAGTGTGAGTCAGTGAATGTGGTTCAGTCTGTGTGTGTGTGTGTGTGTGTGTGTATGGGTCAGTCTGTAAGTGAGGGGTTCAGTCTGTGTGGGGGGCTCACTCTGTGTGTGTGTGGGTGTGGGGTGTAGTTTGTGTGTGTGTGGAGTGGGGTTCAGTTTGTGTGTATGGGTCAGTCTGTGTTGGGGGGCTCAGTCTGTGTGTGTGTGTGTGGGTCAGTCTGTGTGTGTGTGTGTGCGTGTGTCTGTGTCTACGTGTGTGTGTATGGGTCAGCCTGTGTGGAGTGGGTCAATCTGGGAGTGTGGGGGGTCAGTCTCTGTGGGCGGTCAGTCTGTGTATGTGTGGGGGGTCAGTCTGTGTATGTTTGGGTCAGTCTGTGTATGTGTGGGGGGGGTCAGTCTGTGTATGTATTGGTCAGTCTGTGTAAGTGCTTGAGCTTCAAGAAAGATCTCTAATTTCGTGACCTCCCCTGTACCCGATGGATAGGCATTCTTCTAAACCACCACGGCCCCCTCCCTGCTAAGGTAAAATCAGGGAAATGGGAACATTCTTTTTTTTTTTTATATTAAAGTAAAAATGTTAAAGCTTTTCCCTATCCCACTTTCTACACCCCCTGAACACAGTACACCCTCAAAAACAGTGAACCCCCCACATACAGTACACCACCAACACAGAGTAAGCCTTTGCCCTCACACACATCATCTCTTCACCCACATACACAGTTCTTCCCCACATACCTTCACCCCCACACACATACATACATACATACTTCACCCCATTACACACCACAATCTCATAAAATAAATAAATATATATATATATATATATATATATACACATATACACTGCTCAAAAAAATTAAGGGAACACAAAAATAACACATCCTAGATCTGAATGAATTAAATATCTTCTGAAATACTTTGTCCTTTACATAGTTGAATGTGCTGACAACAAAATCACACAAAAATGAAAAAAATTGAAATCAAATTTTTCACACTCAAAATGAAAGTGGAACAACACACTATAGGCTGATACAACTTTGATGTAATGTCCTTAAAACAAGTCAAAATGAGGCTTAGTAGTGTGTGTGGCCTCCACGTGCCTGTATGACCTTCCTACAACGCATGCTCCTGATGAGGTGGCTGATGGTCTCCTGAGGGATCTCCTCCCAGACCTGGGCTAAAGCATCTGCCAACTCCTGGACAGGTGATGCAACGTGACGTTGGTGGATGGAGCGAGACATGACGTCCCAGATGTGCTCAATTGGATTCAGGTCTGGGGAACGGGCGGGCCAGTCCATAGCATCAATGCCTTCGTCATCAAGGAACTGCTGACACACTCCAGCCACATGAGGTCTAGCATTGTCTTGCATAGTCCCTCTTGACTAGTGTCTCTGACTGCCTCTCTGCTGTTTCTAACTGGATGGCTGCCCACTTCCTTAAACTAAACTTGACCAAAACTGAAATTCTGGTCTTTCCTCCCTCAAGTGTTGTTACTCTTGTGTCTGTCTCCCTCCAAGTCAACGGTGCAACCATCAGCTCCACCACGCAGGCTCGCTGTCTAGGTGTTCTCTTTGACTCCGACCTCTCCTTCAAGCCTCATGTTCAATCTATCGCCAAATCCTGTCATTTCCATCTCAAAAACATTGCGCGCATCTGCCCCTACTTAACGCCAGATGCGACTAAGGTGTTGGTCCATTACACTGTCCTTTCTCGCCTTGACTACTGTAATCTGCTTCTCAGTGGTCTTACGTGCTCCCAACTTGCGCCGTTACAGTCCATAATGAGCAAGATTTCTGGCTCCCAGGTGTCTTTTATACAGGTAACAAGCTCAGATTAGGAGCACTCTCCTAAAGGGAGGGTTTCTAATCTCAGCTTGTTACCTGTATCAAAGACACCTGTCCACAGAATAAATCAATCAATCAGATTCCAGACTCTCCACCATGGCCAAGACCAAAGAGCTGTCCAAGGATGTCAGGGATTGTAGATCTGAACAAGGCTGGAATGGACTTGGTGACAACAGTTGGTGCGATTATTCGCAAATGGAAAAAACACAAAATAACTGTCAGTCTCCCACGGTCTGATGCTCCATGCAAGATCTCACCTCGTGTAGCTTCAATTATTATGAGAACGGTGAGGAATGAGCCCAGAACTACACAGGAGGATCCTGTCACCATAGTCACCAAGAAAACAATTGGTAACACACTACAAGACTAAGCATAACGTCTAACGTACCAGAGAATAGTCAAAATACTTGCGAAGGTCAGGGACACAGAATGAGATGCAACGATAAGGAAAGCCAGAAGTCAAGGATACCAGAAATTGGGGAAGTCAAAACAAAGCCAAAGTCAAATACCAGAAAAAACACGATCAGGAACCCACTCGTGGATAATCAGCTAGTGGAAACCACAACAGGGTACTGGCAAAAAGGTAATTTTGGTTTAAATAACCTTCTTTAGGCTGTAATTGGCTATCTCTGACCCCAAAACGTGCGTGCACGTCTATGATGTGAAGTCGCACGCACGTTGGCGCCCTCTTTAATGTGGGTGAAGGTAAGTTTATTATACAATCCTGAACCGCAGGAGCCGGCGTTCCTAAGAATGTCGCACCCGCTGGGGACCGGAACAGAGGGAGACCGGGCAGCTGCCCGCCGCGACCAAGGTAAGTAAGAAACCTTTCTGTCAGCGTGGCTGTCTAGTTTATGTGCAGCCACATCGACAGAAGAGCCTAGAGCCCTGACACCATCAAATCTTGGGTGAAAACCTCCTTCCTTCAGCCAGGACATTGAAAATGGGTTGTGGGTCAGTATTCCAGCATGAAGCATGACAATGACCCAAAACACACAGCCAAGGCAACAAAGGAGTGGCTGCAGGTTCAAGTTGCCAAATGTAAGCCTCGAAACCTTAATGAGAACAAGGGGGGAAGAGTCAGCGCTAAATAACAAGAATATAAAGCAGCAACCCAAAAAGGGAATCCCTCAAAACCCTTAATAAAATAAGCTGAAAAGATGTGAAGGGGGTAAGGGCTGCGCTAAAAAGCCTGTAATAATAGACTAAAATAATAGAGACCAGACCAAATGGTCTAAATGGATAACTGTAACGGACCATTTGCCCAAAAGAGGTTAAAAACCGTTTAGGCGATATTCCCCTTTTTCAGCTGCACCGACAGCTACTGCAAACGCCAATCTCCTGAACTGCAAACCCACGAATTCACCAACTCCTGAACTGGAGACACACGAATAGATGCTAGCAGACGAACAGGAAACGCTCCCAAGCGGCTTACACTCCTGGCAATCAGTCTCTAAGAGCATACAGTAAATCCTCCCCCAATAATGAGACGACACTTCACTTTGAGGGTTAAGCAGGAACTGATTTACTGGGGCTAACTGCCCGGCTTTTATGCAGGTCTCCCACCTGGTGGACACTCCCCTAGGGCACCAAATGGGGGACTGGGACACAAAGGGTAAAAGGACCAATCACAGACTTACACATTTCAACCATCCCACAATGCATCCCAATCCCTCCTCTCTGCTCTGGAGATAATTGAGAAGTAATTCAATTATCTCCAAAGACAGAGGCAAAACTCCATTAACCACATGGCAGAAAACGAACAGTAAAAGACATAAAATTACCTACAGTTACATTCAGTACATAAAACATATACGTTCTACATATCCCCAGATAGCTCAGGTCTGAGCGCACATTATTAAGCGAATGGCGCTCAGACCACACGAATACAGTTTAATCACCCTGGAGCCAAAGTCTTTACACAGTCAGTTTTATGCTCCATGGGATTCCTATCTGGGGTACAACACACTCAAACAAAACTACCGAACACCCGGCCGTTCGTGCACTTTCACCGAACAAGAAGGGAGGTCGGTGGCTTCAGCTGTGTTCGCGCAAAACTGTGTCCGATTTCAGTTCCATGAATTAAGCGTCGAACACCGCTGTGCATTCGCATGTTTAAAATGGCCGCGACCTCGTGTTCATGATACGAATGGCGGCCACCCAGCATTCGTCAATTAAGCTGCGGTTAACCGCAGCTTCAGGGAGGTTAATTGCCGGCACACTCCAGCTCCCAGGTGGTCTATTCATTCGTGCGGTTGTTCAGTAGATTGAATCTACCGAACACCCGGCAGAAAAGCACGAATAAGTCTTTTCTGCAGGGAAAAAGATGTCTTTTAACACGGGGCCATAGTCCAAAGGCAGCAGGCGAGCAACCAGGCTTCTCCAGTGTACAGTGGCGAGGTTGGTTTCACCACAATAACACACCAACAGATAAACCTATATATGTATAGGAGACAGTGATGGATAAATCTCACTTAAAACAACAGAATCAAAAATAAATCAGTCCAGATAATGGAATATAATGGAGGTTAAAAAGTCTAGTAAAAGTCTCACTAATATGTTGGATAAGGTAGGGGTACGGTCCTCAGGAGTTGATCCGTCTGGATTGACAAAATATCAGTATATGTGGAGGAAAAAAGAGGGAGAATACGACAAGCAGCCGATAGCGTAATATTGTAAAATCCAATGGTAAAATAGATAAAAGGAAAGTAATACACTCACATTTGTGAGAGCTTGAACCAGTTCTGGAATGATGGGCATGTAGCGGTATAATTCCCACTAAAGGATATACTGGAGAGGTGCGTCCGTCACTCCGGCTTGGTAGAATCAGTGCTCCAAAATAAAAGACAGCAATAGTGCTCTCAGTATATAAAAATAAGGAAATAAGATATATTTAAAATATACTCACAAGAGTAGAGCAGGAGGTACTGCTCTATCAATACAGCATTGGTGGAATGATCCCCACCTAAGATTTCTTACTATTAGTGAGACTTTTCTAGACTTTTTAACCTCCATTATATTCCATTATCTGGACTGATTTATTTTTTATTCTGTTGTTTTAAGTGAGATTTATCCCTCACTGTCTCCTATACATACATAGGTTTATCTGTTGGTGTTTTATCCATTTAGACCATTTGGTCTGGTCTCTATTATTTTAGTCTATTATTACAGGCTTTTTAGCCCAGCCCTTACCCCCTTCACATCGAAACCTTAATGACTTGAAGAGGATCTGCAAAGAGGAGCGGGACAAAATCCCTCCTGAGATGTGTGCAAACCTGGTGGCCAACCACAAGAAACGTCTGACCTCTGTGATTGCCAACAAGGCTTTTGCGACCAAGTACTAAGTCGAAGTTGTCAAATACTTATTTCACTCATTGACATGCAAATCAATTTATAACTTTCTTGACATGTGTTTTTCGTGATTTTTTTGTTGTTGTTGTTATTCTGTCTCTCACTGTAAAAATACACCTACCATTAAAATTATAGACTGATCATTTCTTTGTCAGTGGACAAACGTTCAAAATAAGCAGGGGATCGGGGGCGGAGCTAGCGGCGCAACGGAGAAGGCGCCATTTCCAGCAGCTCTAATATCGAAGAGCAGAAAAACGACCAAAAAACACAAAAATTAATCTTCACCCGGAAAAACGAGCGGCGGGAACATACTCCCAACAACATTCCGATTCCACAGATGCCATTTATGCAAAAATAGGGCGCAAAACGCCGCGCTAAAGGTACTGGGGCCTACCACACACACGAGCAGACCCTGAACAGGGAATTAACATCGTGGCTCGGGACGAGCTTATACTCTGCCGACGCAGACTTTTACCCTCAGGAAGAAATGGGACGGAGGTCCCAAAAAGCAGCCCAGAACAACGTCTTACCGCACAGGGACATAAGCAGCATGCTGCAGACTCCCAAGCAACAGCGGACTCGAACTGCCATGGCAGCCTCACCTGAACGATCAGAGAATGGTGACTCTACATACAGCACAGACCAGGCCGCCACAGTCAACGCAACCATGCAACCCGCCGAAGAGTTAACCCCGGCCACAAAACAGGACATTCAGATCATGCTGACTGGCCTCCAAAGAAATCTCCAACTTATGTGGCAGGCTGACCTAAAAGGACTCGCAACAGAAGTACAAGCGGTGTCGGCCCGCACACAGGCTGCAGAACAAGAGGTAAGAGATCTGCGCCAGGACCTCACCTCCCTAAAAGACACTGTCACCCAGCTGCAAAAGGCACAAACCAATGTCAACAGACAAATGTACTAGAGGACAGGGGCAAAAGAAAGAACATCAAAATACGAGGTGTACCTGAAGAGGTACCGCTGGAAGAATTGCCCCACTACATAAGGCGCTTGGTGGCCTCTCTCCTTCCAAATAAACATGCAAAACATTTTACATTTGATGGCGTATACCGCATCGCTAAACCTCGACTAGCACCACAAGCAGCCCCTCGAGACGTAATCCTGAGATGCCAATCCCTCATGGATAAAATCGCTCTGATGACGGCAGCCAAAGGGAAATCGCCGCATGACTTTGAAACACACCAACTAACATTCTTCCAGGACTTAAGCAGAGAAACCTTATTGTGGCGAAAGAGCCTGCAGCCAGTTACGTCTACCTTGCAAACAGCAGGCATTGCATACCGATGGGCGACTCCAAGAGCACTATGGGTGACCAAAGGTGACAACCACTACAAGATTTCCTCCCTGGGAGAAGCTCCAGCTCTGATGGCTACACTGGGAATACCCAGGGACTCTACGGACATCCCTGCTGAACACCCTGAGACTGTACCTTGAAACCGGTGGCGTTTATACGCCCTGATTTGAGTTAATTTGTATTTAGTTTAGATCGCATTCTTGTTGTTATACCTGTTATTTTACAATACATACAGCATAGACCTAACCTTAATGGTCCACTAAGGCCAATACGCCCTAAAAACATGGCGAATGCCCGCACATAGGTTATAGACCTCTCCCCCCCCCCAATGCCCTGGGGTTAAAGGGCATAGAAACCCACAGAGCATCTATCCTAGTTACAAGATCAGCTCCAAGATATATTAAAAACCCCTTCGCAGCAGACAAACCAAATTAAGACCAGGAGTTATATAAATAACTAAGCTCAATATGACTCGATTACACAACGACGAACCATGGATACCCGGCCCCTATCTTAGCGCCAACCTAACACACTTAAAGCCACGCAATGGACCGGGAGCCCATAAGCTAATCTTAAGTGCCAGTATTAAATTACAACCAACCGCCCCTATCAGCGGCACAGACAAATATATGCGCTATGACCAACCAGCCCAAAATATCCCAAAAAGTGCAGAACACACTTTAGCCCAACTCACACGTTGAGGTGGCATACTTGTATATATATATATATATACACACACGTTTATATTGCATTATACAATAGAACAAGTTAAATGGTTTGAATATAAATATTTGTACAATTCGAGTTAAAGCCATCAATACTGTGTAGATGTACAAAAATGGTATTATTATGCCTGCATAGCTGTTGGGGCTATGGAGGCTGTATTGTCGGATACTGCACAATGAAAAATAAAGAATTATAAAATAAGCAGGGGATCAAATACTTGTTTCCCTTACTGAATATATATATATATATATACACACACATATATATACATGTTTTATAATTGCCCCCTACTTTTGTCCCTGGCCCCTTATGTGCAACCCCCCCACCCCCCCTCCCAAGTATGAATCCTGGAGACGCCACTGTAAAGGCGTTATCATTGGCACTCTGATCAGTTTGCGGCTACACAGCAAACTGTGTCTGATACCTTTCTATCATGACCAGCATTAAGTATTTTAGCAATCTGAGCTAAAGTAGCTCTTCTGTGTGAGTGCACCAGACATGCTAGCCTTTGCTCCCTATGTGCATCAATGAGCCTTGGGCACCCATAACCCTGATTCCAGATCACTGGATTTTCTTCTTTGCATTACTATTAATAGGTACTTACCACTATATACTAGGAGCATCCCACAAGACTTGTTGTTTCAGATATGCTCTGACCCAGTCATCTAGCCATCACTATTTGGCTCTTGTCAAAGTCACTCAGATCTTTTTGCTTGCCCATATTCCCTGCCTCTAACACAAGAAATTCATGGACTGACTTTTCCCTTGCCGCCTCATTTATTCACCCCCTATAATCAATGTTATTCACTTCACCTGTCAGTGGTTTTAATGTTGTGGCTGATCAGTTGATATATGTACTACATATGTTTATGTGTTATATGAGTTCAAATATTCTCTAAATAGTGCTCATTCAGGTTAGAAGTAGAAGTAGCTACAATTCAATCAATTAATAACAGTTTTCCCCTTTAACTCTCTAAAAGACACCCTTCTCGTATCAATACACAAACTTATTTCACTAATTTTCCCTTTTCATTTTTCCTCCTCATCTTTTTTTCATTCTGCTTATGAACACACTCTCTGTCATATTCATTTATGATCTAACTCTGTATTTCAATAAACTTTACTCATTGTATATAGTATGTCTGTCATTTACCCAGTGCCACTCTCCCTTATGTTCAGTTCGATAAGAGACGAGGTCAGGTTACACATGAGAAAGAGTGGCAGAAGCAGAAAAGCTAGGGTAAGAATAAATCTCATCTCATGTTTCACTACTCTTTATAGTTCTTCCTCCTTTTTTCCACCTATTTTCTCTCTCTACTTCATAATAATAACCTGCTTTCTCTGCCTTCTATTTCATAATTCCTTTCTGTTTAAATTTTCCTCATATTCTCTTTCCTTTTTTCCTTGTTCTGCTATACTTTTTATCTGTCTGCTGTGACTGTTGATTCAGCTAGATCTACTACCTCCATTCAGATAATATCATTTGTTGTTCCATTTAGGAGAACTAACAAGCGTATTTTCCTTGGACAGTTGGGGTTGATGTTTTTGTCACCAGCAATTGGAATAAAAAGCATCTTCAATTCTTCTTCATGGTGGGAGATTTAAATCTCTACCAAATACATAGACCTTTACATCAATGGCACATTTCCAGACATACCCATTTATAGTCACCATGGAAAGTACAGTAATATCAGAATTAGCACACTAGCATCTGATGTGAAGGGAACAGCCCTATCATATGATCATAGTCAAGACTACAACTCTAATTACAGTGGCATTACTGCAGTGCTTAAAATTAGTGTGTGTTTGTGTGTCTCAATGTCAGACGTTTACAGTATTAAACTGTATGGGTGTCTGGCATTATGTTGCATAGAGTCAAGACCATTAGTGAAAGCAGTAATATAACTGGATGTCAAGTTGCTCTCTAAAGAAGTAAAATACAGCCATCAAAATTCAGTGCCAATATCTCCCTTATTATAGGTTGTGTAGAATCTGCTTAATTGATATCTGAAACTCTT